TAATCTAAACTGAAAAGCACATGACAGAAAGGGTAGATTGATGGCCAGTGCAAAATAACTCCCTTAAGATTAATATATTCTATCCTGTTGATGTTTCTAATCAAAATTATACTCCAAGAATCCACTGAATGATTTTAGATGTGAAAGATCACTTAAGAGCAGTCACTTTCTAGGAAAACTGCATTTGTTTCCAGTAGATACAGAAGGGACAGCTGACAACAAAAAAACAAACATATTGCCACACTGCTACTAATATTCTGATTATGCAAATAAAAATATAACACTTCCTCAAAATACCCTCAAACACACACACACAAAAAATTATCATGACCAGACTTTAAAATGACAAAAAGTAAAGATTGAAAGTCCAATGAGTCCAAACTCCATCCAAACCCAGGGTAGGACCAAAGATAGATGAGATGGCTCAGGGGCTTGCCCAGCTTGCACTGGAGCGTGGGGTTGTTCCTCCCCAGGTGTAGGACTTTCCCCTCTGCTGAACTTGATGAGGTCCCTGCCAGACCATTTCTCCAGCCTGCCGAGGTCACCCTGAACGGCAGCCCTGCCCTCATTGCGTCAGCTGGGTACCGTTGCGCAGCACCACGCACGTAGCCAGCACCCTCCTACGCCCTGCTCCGCATAGGAGTCAGGGGAGGTGAGGCAAGGGCACATCAGAGGTAGGAAGACTGTTGAGATGGGCTGAGGTCTGGAGAGCTCAAGGAAGATCTCCTGTGTACCAAGTCCTTTTCTCTAAGTAGCTGAGCCAAACTTGGCTCTTGTTTTTCATTGTTGGGTTTTTTGCTTTTATTTTTGTTTTTTTAAGAGATGATGCACAGGTTACATTTGTGAGACAGCAGTAATTCTTGGGCTTATCACATAGACCTCTTTAAAAAATACGCAGTCATCTCCTAACACCACCTAATTCAATACAACTCTGTAGTGTTTATAATTTTTTGAGCATTAAATAACTTACAGCATCATGAAGCCTTATCAAATGAACCGCCCAGTAGTATTTCTGCATGCTGTCTGCCAAACCACAGTGTGAGTGGGAGACTGTACCCAAGACCACCTGTTAAGTACAACGCAGACCTGCCTTTTCAATCTACGCAATCTCTTCTCCCTTTTAATTTTGCTCTCTGACCTCCCTTCAGTCCTGCCCACTTCTTTCTGGTTTAAAGTCTTGATCTTTATTTTGCCCGGGACTTTTTGAGCTATAGTTCCTGCCTGTCAGTTACCACTTTCCTTACCAGCTCCTACCCTGGTCTTTCATCTCCATACATCCACATTCAATCACTGTAGACTGAAAAATGTAAACTTTAAATGTCAGATTCAACTAAAAACTGAACCTGAGGCAGACAAAGACAGACCTAAAATATACCAATATAACATACAGACGATGCAACCCAAGCTGTTTACACTTCCAATGATATACCAACATACTCATGTTAACAATGGAAAGCTTTCAAAACTTGGTTAGCAAAGTAGAAATAAAATGAACGGCTGAAGCAGAGTGCTGGGTGAAATCCAATCTCTTTCCTCTTGGAGCCAGAACTTTATCAACTAATCTTAACAGTGACCACAGAGGAGCCCTCTCCACCTCTATTGCTTAAGTTTTCTGGAATCAGTCTTCCCAGAAAAGGAATTTTTAGCCTCGGACTTTGAATTCCTCCGCGTAACCACATTTTTTTTCTCATTCAGCAATATGATTTAATCATGGTACTTTCCCAATAGAAACGATCAACAGCTGGATTCAGAGCCCTACGTTTGCAAATACTGCCAAACAGAAAACATGTAAAGAAATAACTCAGTATCACCCTTCGTATCTGCACATATTTTGTGCAGCTTCCCCACAATTACTGCATGATGTCATCAGAAGGGCATGAGAGAGTGAAACTATGGCTTGACAAGAAAGAGGTCACCCTGTTCTTCTGTTCTTCCTTCTTTCTGCCACTGCTCTGCATTGAACCAGAAAGGCAAAAGCAGAGAGAGAAATAGAGATACAGAGCTAGCAGTGCTGCATCTCTCATGCAACTACAGTCTTTCTCAAGAAACTTGGGAAAAGGCCATATAAGTCCAAGAGTCTTTCGCATTTGCCTGATCTGGAAGCCCTCCCTCCTCTGCGCAGACTCTGGTTACGATGGCCCCTCTCAAGGATCTGACAAATCCTTAATGTTTTCTGCCCTGGTGTCACTTCCCAAGCCAAATATCCAAGACGGTCCTCTAGTCTGGCACAGTTTCTTCTCCGTACAATGCAAAACATTACCACGCTATGGTAGTACTGCTCTGTGCTGTCTTCTTGATAGCATGAGGAGTCCACCGCAACATAATGATATCCAGAGACAGCTTACAGATCATTAGGTTTGTCTTTGCACCTTCTCACACCTTCTGCCAGTAAATAGCCTCCCCGAGTTCATACATACAGGATTTTATCACTACCGTTCTGCAAAATGCAAGCAAGGTTTGGATGGCATTGGTTTTTGACTTTGCTATTCACAGCCAGGAGGTCTGAGCAGGGAAGTGTTTGCTCCCCCACGATGTGAGCCCATGCCGAGCTATCAGACATCAGTGTGGACAGCAGCCGCTGACATGTCAGCAATCACGCCAAAGAGAAATTCCTGAAGACTCTGTGCGCTGGTTTTAGCAGGCAACAACTGCTGGTTCATATCTGGGCGTAGAGGTCTCTGACCCCACAAAGAAATTGTGTACATTACTGCAGAGCTACTAATACCACTCACTGTCTCTATTCGGGTTTAAATTTGGCTCCTGGAGGCTGGAGGTGTTTTCTGGGACCTGTGGTATATAAAGCAGATGTTCGATGGATGCTTCCGAAAAAAATATTGTTTCCCTGGCTGTTATTTCAGGAGACTGGACTCAAGGACACAGATGATTCTCTCAAGTCTTATACTGCTTGTGAATCTGGAGGTAGCTAGGATCAGCATGTTCACTACCTGTTGTAAAAAAGCTTACCCAAGAAGGAATTAAAGTAAACTCTTCTGTATCCAAAACAGTTGTTGACAAACTGTAAAACTTCCGAACCACTAGAAAGTTGATAAAATTAAATTATCACTGAGATAAATAAGAATCTTTGTCCTCCTGAACTACTTTGCTCAAGTTAATAGAACTACAGACTTACATTTCTGGTATTGAACTGACACTGTGCTTTTGGGAAAATCTGGGAGTTTTGCTGTTTTTCTGATTGTTCCTACCCCTAAGTTGGATTCAGGCGTTGAAGAAAGCTCTCTAGGAAAGAGGTATTCCACCTTAATATATACCCCCTTGACCAGGAGGTTTTCCAGAATGCCTTATCTAACTGTGCTGCTGCACAGCGTCCTGCTAGAACGCACCCTGCATCGGTCATTACAATTCATCTGCTCTGGCGCAAACCCACAAGCACAGTCAGCTTTGTTTAAACATCCTTGGCAGGAACTGGTTAACATAGCATCCCAGCCAAAGCCTGTGGTTCACAGTTACCAACAAGTCAGACTGACAGACGCCAAGGCCTACTAAATTTTATCACCTTATAAAGCGTCACAAAAAAGTCAGTAAAGCATGGCGGTCAACTAATAGCATCTTGCTTTTTAACTAGGGTGGAAAATACACGCTGTAAGACAACCACCTCTCTATGGTAAGAAAACAAAGCACCAAAATACTTTTGAAGATATCATATCCTATTTGACTTCTTAAACAGCATTTGCCAATGTGGCACCTGCGTGCCACTCATCAATGTATTAAGCTTCATAGCCAGTAGCTGCAACGGAAGACAATGCCTCTCTCATTCTCCCTTCACCCTTGCATGTAAGAATAATGAACACCGCTATGCATCGGCCCATTCAAACACCTGGCTTCAAAGGAACTACCTATTTCCTTAACGTGCTACTAGGTTTTCCTTTGAACATTCAGGTTTGGTCAGAAACTGTTGCGTTAAGTTACAGCTGTGTTAAGCTATAGTATTCCCCTGCCTGAAAGACAATATGGCATATGAAGCTCAGACCAGTTATTTCATCTATTATGTTTTGTAACACAATATAAATTTTTTGATAGTAGCAGTAATACGTATAATGTATATGGCTGTAAAAATGTCAACCAACTTTTATGGCTTTCCTCTTCATATGAATATTCAGTCATCCATTCGTCCCTAGATCCACTTCAATCCTGAAAAATAAAAGATGAAATAATTTATGTATTTTCTTAGAGGTTCATTAATGTCTCAAATATTACTGTATATGCAAATAAAAAACCTAACCACGGTCATCTGTTCCATAGTAAAATAGAGGTCAGAAGAACAGTAAGTTTATAAGCACTTTAAATAAAACTGGATAAATACGACAAAAAGTATATTGGAGAAAGCCTTACGTTTCCTCTCAACTAATGATTTTAGTCAATGCTCTCAGTGTGTTCAATTTCTGAGCTGCTACTTGAGCGCACTAAATCCCAACTGCTTTAATTAAGTCGTCAAGGCCCATTATATATCAGTACCCTGCATTTGTACAAGTAAACTTCCCAGCAGTTACTAAGTGCAAATATTGTTTAGCAGTATTTCAAAATGTGTTTTGAAATACTATGTGAGAACTGGACAATAACACACTAAAAGCCAAAATACATTTATTAGTGAACTCAGTCAATACTCCAGCCACGGGAAGTAACTGTGCAACACCATTATAAAATCTGAATATGTATTTCTTGAAAGGTTTCCTATGGATACGTGATCATTTTAGTTATGTTTCCATGTGACTCTATAAAAGAAAAAATGTAGATAGAGATTTAAATACTGTATTATGCTTCTGGGAGAGTCCTTCAGGTTTAAGAAAATACACAAATCCAGTAGTCTAATTTTTTTAAACTCTTGGGGAAAAAAAAAAGCCTCAGATTTAAATAATATACAGTATGTCTTAAACCTCTTGCTAGAGTACGTGCACATATCTGGGAGCAAATGCTACTTACATATGTCTCAATAATAGAAATGGTGTGAAGTCAAGACTCTAAATCTGCTGTCAGAGTTATTATAAACAATATGCTGTTATTTTTATATTATTCAAAATAAGGTCATCCTTCAAATAGCAGTGGAGCATCACCTGCCCGCTTTTAAACTACAACCCAGTATTTCTTTACTGCTGCATAGATGACAACATGGCTAATGGATTTCCAAACACTGAGCAAACTTTTACACTGAAAATAAGACATGAAGCTCCCTTAAGCGTGTAAAATTAGTAAATATTCATACACAATGGTACTATTATGCTGACTAAACACCAAGCACTTTTTTTTTAACCTTAATATTTTCTTAGAAATACAATTAAGTTCCAAATATTCACATGAATCATAAAAGGTTGCAAAATCATCACAAACACTGACCTCCCTAAATGTAATTAAATACTGTAGGCTTAGAGCGTGCTAACTACTGTAGACTGCTTGCCCCATCTCTCATGCATCTTGTAGACTCCCTTTCCATTTTGTTGTTTAATGTCTCTTGGAATTATATGTATTGCTTCAAATTTTCTATTTCATGAAGCAGATTTCTTTTTTTTTTTTTTTTTAAATTGCACACTTGAAGGACCATCTTTATTTTGCTAGCTGCTCTTTCTCTATGCTAATGTCCAAAAATGGGACAGGTGGACCAAGTTTTCTTATATCCTGGACTTAAAAGATGTGGTTATCTAACCTGAGCACGAAATAACTTAAGTCATCAAGTTCTTTAAAATTAAATGCATTCAAAAGCATCACAGTCTCTGTCAGAGGAAGAGTTTGACTTGTAATTGTTTCTAGTTCTCCAGGTTTTCTCATCAGTATCAGTACTCCTTCCCTACATGCACGCAGACACACACGCTCCTACAACACAACTTAGCTTCAAGTTACACACAAACGCTGAGGTCCTATTAGGTGACCATGGCTATGGTGGTAGAGCAAACATAGGTACACGTTTCAAAATCACTGACACGCTGCTATCCAACCAGCCATAGCCGCAGCTGGCTTTGCATTATTAAATCACATGTGGTGGCCCTCCTCATGAAAAAAGCTACTTCGTTAAGCAGTGATAAACAATCGGGTCTCATTAATTCTCTTCAGGTCTGCACAATTTATCAAGCACTCAATCGTTCATGTCCTTGCATCACTGAAGTGCTCTCCTCCACGGAACGGTTTCTGCTTGTCCTCCTCTTCACCAAGCACAAGCGGCATACCACAAGCTCTGGCAGTGCCACCATCCACACAGTTTGGGGGTAGGACAGGGGTTATTCCCTAGGACCAACCGCAAGCAAAGGTGACCAAAAGCATCGATTTTGATGGCCAACGCACACTTGGCACAAATGCCACCCACACAGGCCACACACCTCTTCATCATGACTATTTTAGGCTGCTTTTGGGGAGACGATGAAGAGCAAACCGTTCATCTGAAAGCAGTGTTTAACAAGTAACTCTACAAATCTGTTGCCTGATTTTCAGAAGGCCTGAAAAGTTTCGGCTTCAGATGCAATGACTTTGAAATGCATACGAAGAATAGGACCATCCATCCTTACAGATTTAGTGCATCCATTCTGCCACGTGTGTCACTGCTGTGAAACCTGCTCTGGACCTTGGTTTTCAGCAACTTACTGTGAAATCTCAGTTTCTACTATCAGAAATATGAAAACAGACATGGAAGTCCAAACAGAAGCATCTTCCATTTATATCATGTGGTTTTTATACCAGAAGAAAATCTACCCAACAAGACAACTGCACAATATTCCCAATTTGAAACTTTTACATCAAAAGGGCTCATTAAGTAATCATAGAGCAAAGCACCTAAGAAACCACCAGTTTCAACTAAAAGAAAGAAATTTGAGTAGCAAACACAGAATTACGGCCACTTCTAGCCAAAGGCTAGCCATCATCTTAAAATCGTGTTTTCAGACCTCAGGAGTTTATAAAGCTTATGAATGCCACCAAACATTAGATTCCTTTGCCTACATCAAGAGAAAACCAAACAGAAATTATAAGACCTAGATCATTTTGAAAACCTGTCTTGATCAGAATAAATGCCCTGGTAGTCCCACCCTGGCCGGCATCCTCACTCATCAGTGGAACTGAGCAGGAATCATGGACCAAAGTAAGCAGCAGGAGAAGGGTTGCAGGACAATCATGCCGAGTGTATTTCTGGACAAACAGAGGCCACTCTGTATGTAGAGGTGCCCTTGTCTCTACAAATAGAACATTTTTGAACATATAAACCCACATTAATTCATTAAAAAACAAGTTCATACTGGTATCATTTTCATATCTCTCTTACATATTGCTAACTTTTAAGTAAATTCCCATTAATACAGCTAGAAATTATTCCTCATGCTATTTTCCCCCTTCATCTAATTTGGACAGATATAGGAACATACATTTGGAAAAGACCAACTCAGTCACAAAGTTAAGCCATTTGCTGAATGAGGATTTATTAACTTTTTCTGCTACAAAGCAAACCCTATATTTGGGCATAACTCTGTTTCTGAATCATTGTCTTGTATCACTGATTTTACTTTTAAAGAACACACTTTTCTCCTTGAAAGTCCTTAAATCTGCACTTACACTTCTGTAATCCCTTCCTTGAGTCACACCAAACTTCCCTGAAGACAGAGTGCAACTTCTCCTAAGGTCATGAAGGCCACCCCGAACATCAGGTAAGGCAGGATCACTGAAACCATGGTTTTAGCAGCATTCAGAGGTGAAAGAACACAGGTTATCCTCAAGCCAGTGTTGAGGATGGGTACCTTTATGCTAATAGTAGCCATGTACTTGCCCTTTTTTCCTATGTTTTTGATTCCTGCAGGGAAATTTGCAAGCTCCATGAAGCAGACATTCTGCAGAAGCTACAGATAAAATATACATTACCCACTAGCTACAGGTTTGCAACAATCCTTGACATTTAGAATCAATAAGGGACAGGAAAGGCTAAAATTCAGCGCAGCATTGCACTGCATCAGAGTAGCTGAAAATCTACTCAAATCGTGCTTCAAGTGCCTACCTTTCTTGCCTGGGGCCTACCCCAAGGATCTTTCTAAATTAGCCAGAACACTTTGCCACAAAGTTTAAAAGTAAAAAAGTTTAAAAAACTTTTAATTCCAGCATAAGCCACTGTCCCACCACCAGCCATCACAAGCTGCAAGATGAACTGGGTAATACAACTTAAAATGCTTTCAGGTTAAGTGTAACTGTTATATATTTTATAGACCTCACAGGACAAAAGGAGCACTTGCTGCGCATTCTGTCACTCACTAAACAACTGCGATCATAAGGTTTATTATGACCTCAGCTAAAGTTTTTGCTAGTCTTTGATAGTGATTTATGTTCAAACAAGGCAAGCGGAGTTACTTGCTTTAAGATGCCAGCCCCTCGCCAACATCTTTGTTGCTCTGACGTAGCGTCGTAACAAAAATACCTTAAGCTGCTCAAAATATTTCTGAAAATTAACTCAATGCTTCAACTTCTGGTTTTCACTGGTATTTTAATAAAAGTAAAGAGAAGCAGGAGGCAGAGAGTGGGATGCTTGTTGCTAGGCAATACCTAGCTCTCCTGAACTCCTACAGACTGAAATATTTATCCAGACTCCCACGAAGAATGACATCTAGCATAGAGAAAGAAGAGACGCAGGCACTTCTGAAGTACATCATGATTCAAGGTAAGAAGCAGCAGCTCTGCCACCAGCTCGGTCCCTGGGGTACCTCAGCTGAGGAGGCTGCAGTCTGCAACGGGGGAAGCGACGCAGCTCCTCCCGAATGTCTACCCTGATTTTGGCTGAGCCTCATGGGGCGATGACTCCAAAACTTTTACACCAAATCAGAATGATCTCAATGCCATTGGGCTCTTGGCAGAATGAGAAAGCACATCTTTTGCTCACCTGACTGCATAGCTGTGTTGGTTTTCTGTTGTTTGGTGTTTTTTCCCCAAATCATAGCACTCTGATAACAGGTTTCCATAAAAAAAAACATGCAGCTGGCCAGACGTAGACGAATGACTCATTAACCGAACACACAACCTTCGCAAGAAGTCTGTGTGCCATGCACCTCCCTGTCCTCCTTTTAAAAGGTTTATTCAACGATTAAACTTTCAAGGAGTGCTTACACAGCCTTTCAGTAGAGGCTTAGAAGAATAAACATTATTCTTTACAGGGTCTTTTATTTTACATTAATGAATTATTT